GGCTACACTGGAGCTGATTAATTTTTTCCATTATGAAAGAATGGAAAATATTTATGCAGTACAACCCCATTTAGTGTTCCTCAGTTTAAGGTGTTCTCTCATTTGATATTCAATTTCAATGATCCCAAGATGTTAAATTACCTCCACCCATGATTTCTCTCAGTTCAGTGTTCAAATATACTGGTCCCAGAGGAAATCTTAAATAAGTGTTTTATGGAATAGAAGGGACAAACCAACCAACATGGTTAAGGCATTTTAATTTAAATATACATAGAGCTGCACATAATTAACATAGCATGCTTACAAGTGTAAATAATAGCATCAGTCTGTGTGCCTTGTTGCTGGTGTACACCAGCTGTTCTGATGTTTCTCATTCAGGAGATATCAGGTTTGAAACCTAGCAACATTCTGTCACCTGGCAAAGTTCCTACAGTTTTCTCTGTCTCTTGAAACTAACACGGGAGACTGTTCCTTGGAGCCGAGGATGACAGTTGCTCAGCTGACAAAAAATTATCCACTGCTCACCGAATCCAAAGGTACAGTGTAGTAGTCCACAAGAATCCATTACTGGACTCTATTCTGATCTAAACAAATCCAGTTCATACCCTTTCGGTGTATTTCTTTAAGAGCAATAATTCTGCATGTAAAATTGCAAATAAGTCTCAAAAAATTTGTCTTCACTCTCATCACTCATGATGCTTTTCTTGTCCTGAAAATATTATTTATGAAACAAGCTCCATGTTCTATGCGCCTATAAAGTGCCTGGTATGCTGTAACCAAAATATGGATCTCCAAATTCTAGAAAATCAAAATCTCTCAGAGATCATAAAAACATTTTCCTTTCATATGGTCCCTTCAGTCTCACTGAAAGTTAGGTCAGTGAAGGTATTTTAGCACGGAATCTTGACTTCTGTATTTAACTGCTTTCTGTACTGCAGTTGTGTGAAACTTTTGGCATACACTGCAGCCACCATATTCTTGGAGAATGATGTAGAAAGAAGATACAGCCTGATATGTATACAAAGATCTCACAATGCTGCCTGACAGTATTTAATGGGAAAAGACTGTGTGGTTAAGAAGAGAGTTTGGAGGAGAAGAGATAAGATCAGACTCCACTCAGTTTCAAGAAAACTTTTTTGTTCACAATTTTCATGTCTCCCAAAAAGATGGTGTTACAAATTCTAAAAATAAATTTCAAACCTAGGTTGCCCATTTCTTCTTAATTTACATTAGAAAGAATCATCCTGCCTATAAAACAAACAGAAACACAACTTCAAATAACTTCAATGAAAGCACAAAAGCAGAGGAAAAAGACTAACGTGCCACTGATCTCAGGAAAAACGGCCACATCTGAAGAAATGTATCAAAGAACATATTTATGAGGAAGATGATATTACTGGTTGCACTAAATATTAAGGAATATAATTGTTATCAAATTCATGCAAAATGTTATGACAAAGCTAATTGCATACACAGATAAAAATACCAGGAACCAGCCCCAGAGACATCCGGACCATAAGGAAAAGAGAAAATTCTGACCCTACCGAGACTTGAACTCCGACCCCTTGGTCATCCAGCCCAAAGGCAGCTGTTATACCGACTGTGCTAACCTGGCTCATTCATGATGTTTATTTCCTTGGAAGAAATATAAATACCACAATAAAAAATATAGGAGCTCTACTATGTACTAGTAGGGAGGTTGGTCTATAAGTACACTTACAGAAAACTAAGTATATGTTCATGTCTTGTTACAAATTCATAATAAAAAGATGGCTAATAGTGACGAGGTTCAAATAAATGTAAATTATAGTAACAAATGAACATTGCATTCCTGAAGAAATGCTTGTTACCATTCAAATGAGAATATTTAAAGTTTCCTACACAGAAATGTAATACTGAAATATACAAAATTACAATCTTTCCTGCCATTTTATATGAGTGTGAAACTGATCTTTTACATTAAGGGAAGAACACAGATTTAGGGAGTCTGAATTAATGACTACAAGTTATGACCTAATAAAACGAGATATAACATAATATTAAATGACAGTATACAGCAAAATATTCTTATTTCTAAGTTGTGAAAAGCTTCAACTGCCGGTCACGGTTGCCTAGCAGTCTAAGGCATGTACTGTGTTTGCTCGCTTGGAAACCGGGATTGTGGGTTCGAATCCCACTCAGGGCATGGATGTTTAGTTTGTGTGCGTGCACATTTCTCTGTGTCTATATACAGGTAGAGGCCTTGCGACGAGCTGATCACCCGCCTAAGGAGTCCTACTGAATGTGTAAGATCTAGAAAAACCGAAGTGAACAGAGAAGTTCATGGAGGTAGGCCTAGGCCCACTAGGACTGTAGTGCCAAGAAAAAAAAAGGTTCAACTAAGTCACCACATACAGAAAGTCATTATCTTAACACTAAGTAAAATTTACAACAGAAATTAGAGAATTAAAATCCAGACAACATGCTGCAAACAATAAACAGACTGTTCATGCCATACCTGTTTGTAACAGTCCTTGTGCATACACAGGAGTTAAATCCGTGCACATCGTTGCAACACACAAATACAACATACACAGATGCCATGCTGTTGTGCCACATACATTATCTTCTTTCTTCATCTCGCAAAATACGAAGGTTAATTCAACAACTTCGCGAACGAAACACGCAGAAATGAAACTTCAATACAATGCAAAACCTAAAAAATATCTCCAAGTAAATCAAATATTTTGCATTCACTTTTTTTACTATAAATGCATTCTGATATGTGTTATTTATTATGTTCCATTATTCAGAGGGTTAAATATTATGTTAATCAGATTTCATATGCCTAAACATACCAAGAATCAGCAGACTCCATAAAGCAAGGTCTTTTTCGAGAGGCTAATAGTCATTAGCTAATTATATTTATATTCTCTCAAACCGGACCTGACGTGTGGCTGCAGTGTAAGGCACTTACATTGTATGCCAGAGAGAGCTGTACCACTACAGAGTCTCAGCAGGTGATGCAGTTTGAATAATTAATTAAAGTGGCTGGTGTCTTGTGACACATCAACTCAGCTGTATACATACAAGGGTGAGCAGCTGGGAAACCTACTGAACTCACTCCTATAATGGAAAAATTATGTGGGCACCAAAAAAAACAAAAGGTTGGGGGAGAGAATTGGATGAACTATTACAGCCTTACTGAGCTGGTAGGCGTCCTGCTATTTCATCCAGGTGCAGGATGAAGTGAACAAAATATTTCTATGAGTAGAATTAATGTATAATGTATAGAAGAATGAAATTAATTTCATAATAGTTCTGTTCAGTCAATGATGAATCAGTCAGTGCCTAGTCCACTGTGGGAAAACTGTATTACGAGTATACAGCTTCATATGAGTCAAACATACCGCCAGTCATTCCACATATACACACACACGTGAGCACACATGCTCCCCCCCCCCCCCACACACACACACACACACACTCAAAAGGAAAAATACTTTTGATGTCATTTGACATGATAATTGTTACAAATCACAATATTCTGGAAAAATATTGTGGAGAAAATAGCTTTTACAGAATTCGATTCATAAATATCAGGGTAAGGTGTTGCAATCTGAACTACTGGCATGAAATTTCACAACTTCACTGCGTACATTCTTCTCTATTCCCCAACTCCAGTAATGAACTTGACTCACAGCATGAAAGGTGGGTACATTTTGGAAGAATACACCACCTCCACCTTCAGTGTAGAATGAAAATGTCAGTACATTCCTCTGATACACTTGTACCCACTTACAAGACTACATAGCATCATAACCCAGAAGACTACACTATGAACATTCACCATTATGAAATCCTCAAATCTTACATAAATAAACTTGACTAATTAAACATGGATCGCTAACAATTTTACCATTTGTAAGTGCAACAGTACCAACAGCTGTACAAGAGACACATGACATCCCATGTATCACTATATTCTGTACGTGGAAAGTAACTAACTACAGCCTCATTATGATAACTGAGGAGCTATTTCAGGTCTAGAAAACCGAACTTAATGGCCATGGGATTCATTGTGCTGACCATGTGACACCTTCTATCTGCGAAAGTTGGCACTAAACTTCGCCGACAAGCGGCAGTCGTTCATTCCATATAGTTTGCTTGCGGACTGAAATCACCAAGTTTTTTGTTTGTTTGTGGAAGTTGACGGAAATCTACTTCCTCCACACTTTCAGCACGCATCTCAGAAATTATTCAACATCCCCCTTCAGCCACTCACTACAGAGAAGTGAGATATAGTACAAACACCCCTTCGGCTTGCTACTAATTTCTTCACCTTGAAGTTCCGCAGCATCATACTTATAAAATAAAAATTTTGTAACAGCATCAAAACAGAACTGCCTGCACTCAAACTAGTAACACCAAGAAAATATTTCTTATTATCTTCATTACTGCCATACATTCAAGAATATACTGCTCTTTAAGCCATCTCCTTCAACCAGTAAGAATATGACATATCTTGAGACCAGTGTACAATAATGTGTCAAATCTTCCAATGTGGTAAGTGAGAAGCACAGCACACACTATTGGGCACCTACATCCTGACCTACCTAGGGGGGAACAAATTCCAAGCTCACACATAGTACTATCCTAGCACCTTCCTGGAAAGAAAGTTAAATGATCAAAATCCTATGCCAGGATAGCTGATCTTAGGGCTAAGTTTCAAACTTGGAGTTTACATAGTATGAAGCATGGGTACTGCCAATCAATAGTGATGTTTAATGTCTTTCTCTAAAAGCAAATACACACATGCAATTGCACACAACAGCAAATCACTGTCTGCTTACTATGCAGCTGCATGCTTCACATATTGAAGTTGATGGTTTAATTTAATAGGTGTGGTGTGGTACAGGAGGGAATCAGTTAAAAGGCCATGACTGAATACAGGCTTGGAAAAAATTTTACATCTCCACACAGGCAAACTGCATGTAATATGTAAATGGAAAAGTACTCACAACAAATCTGTTGACCTTGGGTCGTGGAATCCTCTCTTTCGGTTGTTGTGACTCGTTCTTGAGAGATTCAAATCGGGCTCGGAGTGACTTTGTAGTGTCGATACTTGTGTGTTCAGATGACTGATCGAGCTCAAGTGAACCATTCAAATTTCCAACAGCATGGCTGGCATTTGTTGCTGCATTTGCATTAGCTCTGTTTTCCTTCTCCTCCCAACGCTCAAATTTTGCTCTTAGTGCCTTTGCTCTGGCAGCATTCTGTGCCTGGAATAAGCAATTCTCTTAAGAGTATGGAACAAAATTCTAATCATTATGTTCACTCAAAGGCCTTCTTAAATATCCACTATTAAAGTGTAATCAATAGCTGCTACACTTATATTGATACAAATATTAAAATTCTGAGGCTTAAAACACTTCATACAAAAAGAAGCCTTTGTTTTTATTTTTTTATTATTATTGCTAGTGGGGTGGGACTAATTCCCTTGTACTGTGGCCACTTCTGGCCTTTTGTACTAGCCCCAGATGATAGGTGAGGGTGGTTGTGGAGCAACTGGTGGAATGAAGATTGGCACTGGAAACCGAAGTACTCGGAGAAAACCTGCTCCAGCGCCACTTCATTTTTGTGCCAGTATAGTAATAAACCCCCTCATTGGTGTCTCCACCTTATCGTGGTGAGGGGGTTTGAGTATGCAAAGGAGCCTGAGAGCTATACCAGCGGTAGCGTAGCTACTGGCAGGGCCTCCCTTGCTGGACAGGTCAAAGGGTAGGCATCAGACGAAGAGAGACACCAAAAACCAAAAAACTGCTGCCGGAAGCAGCGTCATCAGCTGCGACTTGAAGCACAGAGCAAATGATGCTCGAGATGGTTCAAGTTTCTATACCAACAGGCATGACCAAATTGGTTTGAACGGCTGTTGTACTGCGATGTGGAAAGCAAATGGAAAAACTACCATATGATCACTTTTCCTGGATAGTCTCTTTCCAAAAACAGACACACCATGTATGCGAACCAGAAGACGAGGAAAAAGACGTAAGAAGATGCTAGATGACCTTGGGGACAGAAGAGGATATTTTTATTTGAAGGATAAAGCTCTAGATTGCATTAAGTGGAGGAACTGTTTTGGAAGAGACTGTGGACCTGTCATATGACAGATTACTGATGAAAAAAAAATAGTAACAAAATCGTCTACTTTTCCCACATTCTGTAGTCATCTGAACACTTGTTAAAGTTATCAAAGCATGCTTACACATGATATCAAGCTTGCTGGACAGTGAAACAAGAATGTCTTAGATCAAATGCGTGGAAACAGATGTTCAGTGATATACTTCACTTAGTAAAAGGTGAATAACAAAACCGAAGGAGCCAGAACTGAACAGTCAATAGGTGAGGTACAAGTATTACAGCCTATGGCCCAGTTCAACTATCAAGAGATGAATAATGGTCGTGAAGCCTTTTAAACATATGATCAAAGTTGCACATTGTGCACAGTTCATCAGTATTATTTTATATATATTAAACTGGAAATTTCTGTATAAAAAATCATAAGAAACATGACCTTCTAAAAGCATGAAATGTTTTTTTCTTTCTCTCCTCCCCCATGGGAACTTCTTACATAGCAAATTTTTGTATCCAGGAACCCAGGAAAGACTCTACATACTGTGGGATTGGATGTGCTTAGAGGCACTGAAAGATTATAGTTTCATCTTTGAATTTCTATCAAAAGAATTAGTATGTGACTACAAGGGATTAGATGGAAGATATGGCTATGAATGATGCTGTTTGCAGGTCAAAGGGCAACCTGAATTTGAATAATATATCAAGTGAATTATCCACTTTGCATGCTGTTGAAGAGCTGAACACACATACACAAAACATGAAGGACTGCAGACTAACAATATTACTCTCCAGCTCAGCACACCTGTTTCAAGAACTCATCCTCAATCTTGTCTGATGACCTGACGATGTTTGGGTTCACATCACCTTCTTCTTCTTCTTCTTCCTCATCTTCATCCTCCTCTTCAGACTCTGTTTCCTCTTCTGATGAGCCAGAATCTCGTCTGTAATCTGGCGGGGGTGTGAAGCGCTTCAAGGGCTTTGGTCCTATGAAACACAACATTTTCAGAGTTTATGCTGATACTGCAACTACTAGGTTATCTTACCCACAAATTATTAAAAATTCACTGCATCCATGAATTATCTATATATAGCATCTAGTGATAATCTGAAGATATCTCATGCGTAAATAAGGGTTCTTTATTAGAGTCCATCGCAACACAGCAATACAATGGTCAGTGCTAAAATTAGCTTAGCTACAAGTTTCGGCTATTAAAGCCATCATCAGGCAAACAAATGATTAGAAGTTCCACTGTATTTCAGCATGGTTCACACTTCCATTACAATTCCCATTTTAAAAACAGTGAACATCCTTTAAGGTTTCTGTATAGATCAGTGGACTTTTATATAAATTGTGAAATATTTTAAATGCAGGGAATTTAACACTGAGATTATTGATTTGGAATAGATGAAACTGAACTTCAAGTGACAGAAAACCTTAAAAGATGGAACACAAAATATGATTGCGCTCTCTCTCTCTCTCTTTTTTTTTTTGAGCCCATGTATGTATGCATGTATAAAGACAAAATATTCTTATATTCTATTAAGAGTACACCAAGCCTAATAAATTTACAGATGTTCACAGAATGTAAAGATTGTCACTTAAGATATTTCATGCAGTTACTCCTTTTTTTTTTTTTTTGGAAATCTGTCTTCAGTAACACAGAGAGTTTGACACAATGTTTTTTTTAATTACACTGCAACACTAGATTCCTTCATCCATCTCCCATAATAATATTTCTAATGTTCCTGCTTTGAAATTCTCTCATTTTTTTGTTGAGTTTTTTGTTAAGTTAATGGTACATATGCTTCAGTACAGAGTAACAGTGACACCTTAGCAAAAAGCGTCCATGTTCTTGTTTCTATTGTTTTCATGATCAACTGAAATTTTCAGGGTTAATTAAAGATGTGATTGCATATAAGCAAGATTGTCTGCAAGATGAAGTGAGATCCTGAATTCCTTACCATCTGGGATGTCTTCCTTGGATGCATTCTCTTCCAGCTGCCTGAAGATAGAAAGCATTTTCTTGGCTGTGTTTGTCTTCATCACCTCATCATCCTCTAACTTATCTTCACTGCGTACAATATCAGGATCCCTGTAGATTTCACGATCAGGAGAGCTAACCTAGCAAGTCAACACAAAAATTAAAGTTAGAAATGCTATTCTTTCCCACTGACACAATTCACAGTTATTGTAAAATCTCACATGCAAATTTATTATTGTGTAGCCCCTTGCTCTGATGAGAAAATACAATCTTCTTTTCTACACAATCAAATCTTATTTAAGACACCAAATTTTTGCTTTGTAAATGATAAAATACGTCAAAGCATATGATTCACTGCAACTACACGGTCATCGAGAAAGAATGCCGGGATTATAAATACCTATCATTCAAAAACTGTTACAACATATTGAAATGATTCAAGTTTTAAAATGCGGTGAAAGAATGTAAGTTTTGGATATCCTAAGTTGATGGTGGGTAGCAAGCGATGTTGAAATGCTTTTGTTGGTTGACCAATCAATAAAACTTGCACACAAAGCCAGCTTTCAAACTCCCCTAGTCCTGTTAGTTTTACCTCCCAATGTGAATCAGTGCCAGGCGAAATGTAAACCGTGCAACAGAGGGCTGAGTTTGTTTTATGGTATGTAGAATTGAAATTACTTGAAACAGCGCAACGTAAGTGGCGAAGGTTACATCGAGGAGAAAAAGCATCAGATGACATGGCTCCAAAAAGTGGATTGAAACAGTTCAAAGAAACAGGGAGAGTTGCGACACAGAAATCTTCAGGTCGACCATGAACATCAGAATAGAATGTGAACAAATTACATAGCCCTATAAGAAATTCTAAAAAAAGTCGATTGCTTCTCAGAGTTTAGAATTAGGGATTCCAAAAACTGCGATTCAAAATGTCATTCACAAGTGTTAAGCCTTTATGCCTACAAGATTCAGCTGAAGCATGAAATCAAACCTGATGACTAGTCGAAATATTATGATTTTTCCTGTTCAATGCTCAACAAAACTGATGATGCTGAAACTTTCTATGCCAGATTTGTTTCACAGACAATGCAACTTTTCATATGAATAGGTGCATTAACTTGACATGAGATACAGTACCATCTCAAAATCTGGTGAACAACAAATGGAGAACACATAGAAACACACTAAGGTAATTAAAAAACTTCAGACATTTCTTAGCAATTTAATGCTCAAATCATGTTTAAGAGTTTTTGAGTGATAACATTTTACAATCCCAGGATTCTTTTTCAATGACCCTGTAAAACCATTTCATATATTATTCAACAACTATCCATAAAAAGCAAAAAATTTCAGAAAGTGATAGACCTGATAAGTTGCCTCTCCATATGCCATCTACTGTTTCACACTTCTTGATATAATTTCAGACACAAACAAAATACTGACATGAAATTAAAACAGACAACATACACTTGAGTACATTAACAAATGACAATAAACATTTCCATGTTAAAGTTAATGTATTAAACAAAGCAGCAATCCTTGTCTAACATCACAACCGGGACTGACAATGTTAGTTCCTGTACCAGGGATATCCAGCCCCCCTACCCCCCAACCCAAGAAAGCAAGACTGAAAAGGAGAATGAAACGTTGGAAAGGAAGACGTAAACTGTAACCACCTAGTCAGCAAAAATGAAGTCTCAAATGGCTTGCATGTAACCATTATTCAGCTGTCTAAAATCGGTTAATACTTATAATAATTACAGTTCGATCATGATTTTCAAATAATTCAATTTTCAAATATTTCTTTTAAACAATTATAGGAGAAAAACATGGAGGAATGATTGCAAACAATACATGAACATGACAGTATGGGAAGTAAGTCTAGTCCTTATACCCTCATTCTGTTCGAATTACATCAGATGACAGGTGACAAATAATAAAGTTTGGTTTTAAAGCTAAGCTGCTGTTACTAATGACATTCCTCTCTGCACCATATTTTCACATGGAGACTAATGGTGGAGTGTGCAGTCTGCATAACCATATTGCTTTGGTATTCCCACACTTATTTTTAGTATTTTGTAGTGGAAAGTAGGTAGAATGTCAAACAAAAATCATGTAGACATTATCATCACCCTTCTGAAACAGGCTGCCTATACATCTGAGGACCAAACAGAGCTTTTACTAAATAAACATATCGGCCGCATGATAGCTCAAGCGGTTAGTTGCTGGCCTCCCACCACGGTGGCCCGGGTTCGATCCCGGGTCTGGTCAAGTGGGATTTCTCGTGGATGAAGTGGCGCTGGGGCAGGTTTTCTCTGGGTACTTCGGTTTCCCCTGCCAATCTTCATTCCACCAATTGCTCCACAATCACCCTCATCTAGCATCTGGGGCTGGTACAATAGGCCAGAAGTAGTTGCAGTGCAAGGGACTTAGTCCCACCCCACTAGCAATAAAAAAAATCATATCACTTTTTACACTACAGTGTGGCATAAAGAAAGATGGAAAAATTCAGAGACCCTTATATCTGAAGCACAAACGACAAAATGTATATAAAATCAAAAATAAATCAAACATATAGTGAATCAGAAAATATTATTTAAAGATTTCCTCACAAAGCACTCCAATGTCATGGAGTACATGATTAAGAGAAGAATGTTAGAACTTCACTTACATGCTCAGACAATAAAATATCTGGGATGATTTAAGAAATTTGGCCTCATTGTTCCAAGTCTGCACCATTTTAATGGATGAAGGAAATGTGTGAGAGGTAACAATAAGCAGCGTTAGGAGTATAGCAGTTCAGTTGGAAGTATGAAGCACTGCAGACATGAGTAATTTATCCGAGCAAAGTACATTTTGATTCATTCTATGTACCTAGATGCTTGTAATATCTATATGGATAAGTGTTAACTCTCATCCATCACTTCACAAAATAAATTACCGACACTGGAAGTGATCTCAACCAAAGAGAAGCCCAATTTTCACAAATTATTGTCATGTAATTATCTCCCTTTATATGGAGGTAAATTATTAACATAATTTTCTGAATTTCCTGTAATGCTTCTAATGTGTATTATATAGACCCCCATATACAAAGTAGAGGAGACAAGCCATACTTCATATGTTATGCACTGTTATGTCTTCCATGCACAAACTTTGATTTTATCTTCTCTCGACATAATAGGACAAAGCCAGTCACACCTGACATTATCCATTCCAGTACTACATGGTTTGCAACACAGTGGTTCACAGCATTATGTTAGTTAATAATTAAGAACACAAAGCGCAAAACAATCAACTTCCATCACACCTTGACCTGCCCTTCTCGGGGAGGAGTGATGCGGAACTGTTTCCTCTCTTTTTCAGGTGCTTTGTAAGTTTCAAAGAACTTAAACTTGTTGCTAACTTCAGCTGTTTCCACTTTTACATCCTCAATGAAATCACTAGATCGCACCACGTCTTCTGAGGGTTGGCGGAGAAGAACTGTCTGAAATTGCCATATGAGGACCACTCCATATAAGGCATGTATATTTCTTATAGGTAATATAGATCATGAAAGAAGATCATGTTGATAATCAATGCCCTGTACTACAAAGTATTATGATGTAATCTTCAAGCTGGATGAGTATGGAACCATAAAGCAGATGGAAAGAAGGCTATATATCACATTCCTTTGCATTCTGTTAACCTTTTCAGCAGCAGATTTATAAAACTCGCCATGAGCTCTGTCAGACTCACAGTTGTCAATTCTCATTGCAGAGTCACCTGCATAAAATACTGTGTAATCATATTAGTAACTTGTACCTACTGACATGTCAGTAATGTTTACAGTTCTGAAGGTGTTATACCCAGATGATGCTACAGTGACGTGCACTTATTACAGAATATGTTCATGTAATAACGAAACAAGTCATGAAAATGAATGATGTGTATGATATGCTGTAAAATCATAAAATAAGAATCAGATTATCATCCTAATGAATCCACTGGCTTAAAGGTGCAATTTATTTTTAAATGATATACAGTGTATGTGAAACACAAATAAGTGTTTAAATACCCAAAGTATGGCATCCATGAAACTGTGCTAATGGGCCAACTGAAAAGCAAGATGTACACTCAGCTAACAAGCTCCATTGTTAACTTCTTAGTGAGTCTTCAAGTTAAATACCATTACCGTAACAGTCCATCACTGGACACTACAATCAGGCAGTTCAATTCACTTCACAGTCTTGCAAACCTGTTCACAAAAGATCCATTTTAATATAATCAGGTATTAAAGTTTTTAATCATCTTCCTCAAAGAATAAAAATGTTGCCTACTGATGTGAGAAGTTTTGAATCTGCATTGAAGCGGTTTTTATGTCATCAATCTTTTTATTCCATGAATGACTATCATCAACATAACTGGTCATAAGTGTGTAAATTTGTAACATATTTAATTCAGTTAATATATCTAATTTAAATAAAATTGTATTAACTCAAGTTTTATAGTAAGTTATTTTTAAATTATGTTTATACTCTACATTATTATTTATGTTAACCGATTAATATAAGTGATTTTGAATTTGTGACTCATGTAATTTTGTATATGTATCTTGATATATCTATTTTCAAATGGACTATTTCCACATCCTAGGCTTGTTATCTGTATGAATATATGGAAAATAAATGGAATGAATGAATGAATGAATGAATTATACTCCCACTTAGGTACAAATCCCTAAAAAAATCAAGAAATTTCATGACAGCATTTTCATACCTCTCTCAATCTTCTTCGAGGGTCATCTTTAGTTAGTGGAGATTTCAGTGGAGACAACAGAGGCTGCTGCTGCTGTTGCTGTTGCTGAGTTTTGACAGCAGTAGCATCCAGCTCCAAGAACAGGCTACGCGATTTCTTTGATATACCTACAACATTTCAAGTTGATACTGTTGTTGTTGTCATTGTCATCATCTTCAACATCACCATCATTAAAAATTAGGTAAATAATGATGCTACCAAAATGGGAGTCAAATAGACGGTTAATATTTATTTATGTGCTAATTTAAATAATTGTGACAGTATTTTAATAGAAATTCAGGAACATGGCAGGCACATACACACCACTCTGTCATACAGAGGCAGTGTATCACAGGTACACTGACAC